GAGGCCGCCATGCGGCCGCGAGAGGCTCCGCCTGCCGCCCCTCCTGTCGTGGAGCCCCTTCTCCCCGCCCCCTCCCAGGCTCCGGGTGAGGGAGGAGGACAAAGCTTTTCTGGGGAGGAGGGGCTGGAGGGTAGGCATTACTGACCCCAGAAGTGGAGGGGTCAGAGGAGAAGGCGCAGGTGACCAATGGCCTAGGCCGGGGTGATCGAGAGGTTTGCAACGGGAGCTGAAAGGGAGACCTCGTGGGGCCCTGAAACAGAGATGTGTAGGGCTGGATCAGCCAGAGAAGGAGGGGACATGTGGGGCAGGCATGGTAGGGTTGGGGTCCTGGCCAGGTGCCCTGGGGCCTGGAAGTTGCCTAAGTCTCATCTTCTCTCTGCCCTCTCCGCTCAACCAGGTGGTTTCAGAGACGTCAGCCAAGGTGGGTCTAGCTCCTCACTCACTGGGGTCCTTCTTGGGTGGGATTCTCCCCAGGACCCAGGTGTGGGGGACCACGGAAGGTGGGCAGATGCAGGGGGGTCTTTGAGGCTGGATGAAGAGAGAGGGCACCAGGACTGTTAACGTGCGGGGACCCTGAGTTTAGTGGTGCCCCAGAGGTCTCATTTCACCTTGTCTGGGGGTGAAGGGCACAGAACAGGGACTAGGGCTCTCCCTCGTCATGGGGCCTGAGCACATCACTTCACATCACTTCCCTTCAACCTCTCCCAGGGGTGAGTCTGAGAACCAGGGTTGTCATCATTAGCCCCACATCCTCTTCTTTTAGAAATGAAGAATTGAGTCCAGAGAGGGGAAGTGACTTACCTCAGGTCACATAAGCATCAGAAAGTTTTGGTTTTCAAACTCCAACTTCTGCCTGTGATGTCTCTCCCCTGGTTATTGAGGTGAGGTAGAGGGGACACAGCCACGTAAAAGCCATGACGTTGAGCTAGTCATGTAACCTCTAAGACTGTCACCTGCAAATAGGTAAAAAGGTAGGCTAGGTGAGGGAAATAAGGTCTTTAATGTGCCTATCATGGGGCCTGGCCCAGGGATGGGGCTGTCTTTCTTGGAGATGCTGCATTGAGCTGTTGTGGCCTCCCTCAGTCACCTTTGCCCCATCACCCACCAGACCCCTGGGCCCTCATTCCCACAGGTCCTCAGAGGCAGCCAATGAAGGCAGAGGCCAAGGCAGCCCTCAGTCATTTTGGCCAGGCCACTTTTCCCTTGGCCTGAGTTTCCTTTGATGGAGGGAGGGACCTCATTGGTTATGACATTCTGGAGTACCACAGGTGACTGTAACATAGGTGTGTGTGTGTGTGGGGGGGGTGTCTTCACAGTGTGCGGAAAGCCCAAGGTGGTGGGAAAGGTCTTTGGTGGCCAGGACGTGGTGGCTGGCCAGTGGCCGTGGCAGGCCAGCCTGCTCTACCATGGCTGGCACTTCTGCGGAGCTGTCCTCATTGACACCCAGTGGGTAGTTTCAACAGCTCACTGCTTTCTCAAGTGAGTCTTTCTTCCTTGGTGCCCCCAGCAGAGGGGCTGGGTAGGGGAAGAGGATGCAAGGGGAAGAGGGGAAAAAAGGGTGAAGAGTGTCCCAAGTCTTTCTCCTCTGGGCTTTGCTCTGGTGCTGTTCCTACCTTTGACCTGGCAGTCCCCTCCACCTGGAATCCCTCCCTGCTCACCACTTAACTCTCCTGCGTCTGCCTAAATCCTTCTTATCCTTTGCTCTCAGTTCAGGCAGCCCCTTCTCCAGGGAATCTCCTGCCCTCTCTGTGCTGGAGTCAGGCACCTCTTGTCTGTGGCCCCAGGTTCTCTCCTGGAAGATCCCCTGTGTCTGTCTTCCCCAACACATACATGTCTTTGTCTTGGCCATGATGTGATGTGGACAAGCTCTTTGCCACCTGCAAACCAGGCATTCTTTGTAGATTATCTTGGGTCCTCAATGTCCCACGCACTCCTGTTGAGTCAGAATCTCTAGGCACTGACTTAGGACTTTGCATGTACAACCAGCAGCACTTCTGTAAAACTACATGCCCAGGACGAGCTGTAGTCTGCGTGGCTGGGAAAGTGTGGGGCTCCCTGACCTTGGAGACATGAGGGGGACAGTCAGGAGTCTAACTCCTAGGGCCTATCCTGGGCCTGGCTCTGTGTCCACTTCTTAACAGACTTGGAGGGATCTGGAGTGGGTAGGGAGACATCACAGCCCACGTCAGGGAGTTGGAGCTCTGGCATTGACTGACTTTGAGACCCCAGCTGGGTAATGTTAGCCTCTACTCTGTGCCACACTCTATGTGAAACCCTGTATGTCATAGATGATGGGAGATCCTGACTTGAAGTTTTGTGCCATCCTGCTTATTAGGCACAGGCTTAATAAGGGTGAAGCAGAAGAGAAAGCCTAAAGTGGGTGAGAGGGGTTGCCTGAACTGAGGGTAAAGGATGAGAAGAATTCAGGCAGATGACAGGATTTATTAAAGAAAGGTGAATACCCCAGGGGAGAAAAGTCAGAAGATGCTGTGCTCCTGGGGGTTGAGGGGAACTCCAAGAGGAGGGCATGGAGCTGGAGGGGCTTGTCAGAAGGGAAGGATTTGGACATGTGGAGTCAGGGAGGGTCTTCAGGTGGATGAGCCTTGTGAACAAAGTGATGAAGTTTGGAAGATTCATCATGCATGTTCATGGAACAAGAAGAGATTCATTTTCATGCACTCATTTTTTTAAACAAATCTATGAGTGTTTGCAACCATGTGGAGAAGCAACCTTTGGGAAGTAGGATGTGTGAAAAAAGGAGAGAGGCAGGAAAGGTGGTTGGGCCAGGAGGTGGGTTATGGGGAACCTTCAGAAAGTTCAGGTTAGAGTTAGCATTGGGCTGGATCTTCTCTTGTATAAAATAAAAGGGCTTAATTTGGTGACCCCACCAAGCATAGCACTAGGTTCTCTGCTCTTCAGATTCTAGGACATGATGGGGAAGCCATATGTCCTGAAGTTGTGAGTAGAATATCACCTTCAAGAAAGAAGGACTATTGACTGTTAGAAGGGGGAAGACAAAAGTTGCCTGTAATCATGGTGGGGTAGAGGGACCCAGATAGAAGTAGGCAGTTAAAGGAGGATGCAAGGAGAGGGTGCTGGTCCCCTAATCAAAGATGATGGATAATAATGGGCCATTTCTTCTTCAGCAAATCCCATGCCCCGGAGAACTACCAGGTTCTGTTGGGAAACACGCAACTGTACCAACAAACCCAGCACACCCGGAAGATGCCTGTGAATAGGATTATCATCCACCCAGACTTTGAGAAGTTTCACCCCTTTGGGAGTGACATTGTCATGTTGCAACTGTACCTGCCTGTGAACTTCACTTCCCACATCATCCCTGCCTGTCTTCCAAACCCTGATATACTGCTGCCCAGTTACACATCCTGTTGGATAACTGGCTGGGGAATGCTCACCGAGGACAGTGAGGGGGTGTAGGGGGGAAGGGGACAGAAAAGGGAGGATGAGGGGAGAGAGAGAGAGGAGGAAGGGAAAAGGAAGGTATGGCTCAGCCTGAGAGGTCTCCAAGCAAAGAGGCCCAGGGCTGTGCCTCATTTCCACAACCTGTAAGCTGAGGAGAAGACCATGTTGGGGCCCTTCTAGTTCTAAAAATATGTAATTCAGAGTTACCTGAGCCCAAGGTTCTAAAAGTCTGGTAATATTTTACTTCTGGAATCAAGAATTTGGGGTTCTTTGAGTCTTCATGGTTCTTAAGATTTTAATCAGCCACGAATCTGCTATCACTTGATTCAACTCTAAAGTCAAGCTTGGGGCCTGGCCCATCCCAGGCCACCACCAAACATCTTGATTTTTCATTGCCATAGAAGGTGCTTGAGAAGTGTAGAAAGAAAACACATTTATGGCTTCTACTCCAAACTCCCTACCTTGGCCACAAGGCCTTTTCATGGTCAAGTTAGAATGACTATGACTTAAGAGTGTTTACCTCTCTGAAACTTTTTTTGCTCTTCTCCTAGCCCAGGTCAACTGTATACTTCATAGACTTAATAGAGTCAACAGAATAACAGTTGAGAAAGTATTATTTTTAAATTTAAAGAAAGGAAATGTACACAAAGATTTATACATAAGATGTTTTATTAAAGAAAGGTATGTTTATAGTTTGAGGAAATGCTTTGGGTATAATATTAAGGAAAAATATACATATTTGGAATTATTTGTAGGGTCATAATTCGCTACAGAGTTTCTCAACAGATGTACTACCAGCATTTTGGACATGTCTTTGTCAGGTAGAACTGTGTTAGCATCTTTGGCCTTTGCCCACTAGATGCCAGGGACACTCCCTAATCATTATGACAACCAGCTCCTCAGCATTTGCAAACATGCCTCCATGAGGGCACTGTCCCTCATTGAGCAAGGAGGACACTGTGGATTGAGGAAGGAAGCAGGAAGGGAAAGTGTATATATCAAGGCTCAGAGTTGGGAACAGAAACAGCCACCAGAAACAGCATGTAAGGGACTATGGAGCAACCCTCAGCTACCCGTCTGTCCCACATACCCTTACTCCTCATTTTGGCCCTCTTTTTGAGTATTTGTTTGTTCACTTGTCTTCACATGAATACACAGACACATACAGAGACTGGTTACTCTTTGAGGGCGTGGACTATGTCTTAGTTGTTTTAATATCCCAATCTCCACCACAGGGCCTGTCACCTTGTAGACACTCTACTGCTACCTCCCTGGTTCTATAGACCATCATTTCCTATATGTAGCCTCCTAACTAGTCTCCCAGCTTCCATCCTTGTATGCCTCCACTTTAATCTCCACACGGTTGTTGGAGTGTTAATTTTTAAAAATGACTCATGCCACTTCCCTAGTCAGTACCCTCCAGGTGCTTCTCATTTGTGCTTAGTATAAAATCCAAACTCCCTACTTTGACTCTACAGCCCTGCATATTGGCTCCCTGCTTCCTCTCTGGCTCATCTCCTATTGCATCCCTCATACTCTCCATCCCAGCCACATGCACTTCCTCCCTGCTCCTTGAATATGCCAAGGCTATTCCTGCCTCAGGGCCTTTACTTTTGCTCTTCCTGCCTAGCATGCTTTCTCCCTGAGTAGTTGCATGACTAGTTCTCCTTGACATTTACAACTTAGCTTAGACATCTCCTCTGAGAAGTTTTCCTTGATCATGTGAGCTAAAATAGGCAATCCCAACTATCACATCTCCCTGTTTTATTTCCTTCATGCCACTTACTAGATCTAAAATAATTTTATTTACTTACTCTGTTTATCCCAACTAAAAATGTTTCCCACTCTATCAGTATTGTCTGAAAGATACCTAAAAAAGGATAGATAAATAGATGAGTGAGTAGATGAGTGGGTGGATGTTGGAAGATGGATGGATATTGATGAGTGTGTGGATAGGATAGGTGAATGGATGGATGGATGAGTGGATAGATGGTGGGAAGACAGATGAAGTTGGTGGATGTGTTAATAGATGAGGGGGAAATGAGGTAGATGATAGAGGAATGGATGGAGACATGAATGAAAGGGTGGGTGGATGGGCAAATGGAAGAATGGGTGAATAGGGTTGTGAGGGAAGTGGGTAGATAGATGGAAGAAGAGGTAAGTGTGGATTAGAGATGGAGGGATGGGAGAATGGTTAGTGGTAGATGGATAGATAATGGATTGTACAATTCATGAAAGGGTAGGTGGATTGGTGGATGGTTGCTAGGCCCCAGGGAATGGACCATGTGTTGGTGGGACTTATTTCTTTGTGTGTGTGTGTGTGTGTGTGTGTGTGTATGTGTGTGTGTGTGTATGTAATAGTAAAGGTGTGGTCTATTGCTATGAGAGAGGTGGAGGGATTACAATATAAGTTCGTGGAAAAGTTTGAGAAACAGGAAAGGGGCTTATTAGAATGAGTAGAAGACATGGTAAGCAGTGTTGAAAGCTGAGCTGTGCTGAGAAAACTCCATGTTTGGGAGGGGGCACTAGGAGGAGACTAGTGAGCAGGAAGGCAGAGTTGGGGTTCAGAATAGTCTGGGATTCCTCTGCTAGGCTACATCCCACTTCACTGACCTCTCCCTCATCCTTGCAGTACAGCTGCTTCCACCCTTCCATCTCCAGGAGGGCAAGGTGGGCCTCATTGAGAACAAATTCTGTAATCTCTTATATGGACAAAGGACTTCTGGAAGCAAGAACTACTCTGTGCATGAGGAGATGTTGTGTGCTGGGGACTTCTCGACAGGAAAGGCCATTTGTCAAGTGAGTGAGACCATTTCTCTTCTTCCTCTGCCTGTTATCAGGACCTCAGTTTCCCCAGGAGAAGCTTATGTTGCCTCTGTTCTTTGTAGAGACACCTGGGACTTCCTGGGATTGCTCTGTGTGTCTTCCCCAAACTCCATCCCTCAGTAGTTTTCCCCAGACTAGCTGTTTTCCAAGCCCTTCTAAGCATAAGAGCATCAGCTGGCAGGACCCTCAAACAGCATCTATTTTTGTTGAATATTATAAAACTTTTTATTGAACTATAACATAAATACAAGAGTATGTAATTCATAAGTATGTAGGTGAATTTTCACATACTGCATTACCAGCAGCCCAGAAGCCACCCTCATGTCTACTTCTGTCCCAAACACCCAAGGAGAACCACTGCCTTCATTTTTAACACATTTGATTAGATTCTGAATTTTCTATAAATAGAATTTACAGTGGCAGTCTTTTATGTCTGGTCTCCACATTATTTTTGTAAGATTCATCCATACTGTTACACACCTAGTTGTAGTTTGTTTATTCTCATTGCTGTATAGTATTCTATTGTGTGAATTGACTTCTATTACCAAATCTACTGTTGATGGATATTTGGGTAGTTTCCAAGTTGGAGGTATTATGAGCAGCAGTGCTATGAACATTTTGGTACATGTCTTTGGGACACAAATGAACACCCTTCTCTTTCATAGAAATCTATGAGTAGAATTTACTGAATTAAAAGATATGTACATGGAAGGGAGAGGCAAGATGTCAGCATAAGCAGTCACTCCCCTACATCCCACTCCAACTAAGCCAGTGAACAACAAATAAAAATTAGCACAGACAGAGATTTCAGAGCTCTAGACAGCAGTTGAAGTGTTAGAGAACCAAGGTGAGTCCCATATCAGAAGAGAGAGAGAGCAGGAACAGCGGACAGGCTGAGATTTGCCTATCCTACCTGCTAGCTCAGCTCACTGCAGCCATTTTGGGACATGGACAGGCAACACCCTTGAACAAAGAACTCAGGACACCATCTACATTGAGGACACAGACTGGCTCAGAGATACTAGGTAAATAGCCTTGGAAAGGTCCAGTGAAAGGGTTGGGGTGTCTTCTCTGTTGGAGTAGAGCTGAGAGATAGTAGCATATCAGCACAACACCGACTTGAGATCCGAGAAACTAAGGAAGGTGCAGTCCGATTAAAGTGGTGCTGATTGGCTGCGGGAACTCAAAAGGAGGGAGCAGGGAAGCCCAAGTGCGGTATTTGGGGACATGCAAGGGGATGCTGAAATGCTATGGGTGAGTGCTATTGAGTCTGAGATCAGAGGCGGAAGGGCACTGAGACCCAGGACCCACAGAAGAGCCACGGGACTTCCACCTGCCAGGACAAGAAAAGCACATCATACAGGCAACCCAGAGGCAACCAGCTGGATTCCTACCTAACAACCTAAGAACCAGGCACTGAGGGAGCGCCCGCTCGGGATTGCCTAAGCAGAAAGGACCCAAAGCACTAAAGCACTAACCCCACTTCCTTCCCGCTTCAGGAAAGCCATGTCCCAACCCTTCCACTCTTAGCTAGTGGAAAAGTGCTGTACCTGTGCATCCAACTACAGAGGGAAAGCCATGCCCCACCCCCACAGACAGATGTGAGGGAATCCTTGTCCCAGTGTTGCAATCTCCTTGGGAAGGACACACCCCACCTGTAGACTTCAGAGGGAACTTCACACCCCAGTAACATCAGCTACCTTGGGGCAAACTAACCAGAGTCGGCACCCAGAAACTTAGAATTTTACAAAACACGTAAAACCCAGGGAGCCTGGGTAGAACCCTATATTAAGAACAACAACAACAAAAGTAACCTCAGACCCATCAAAATACTGCTGAATCAGCCCTGGAAGAACCAAAGGGCTAGAGTGCCCCCTAATGGAACTTAGGGAAAGAAAGTGGAATTAAAGTATAAAAATGTTAGGTGCTCTCCAGTTGGTTCCAACTCATAGCGGCCCTATGTGCAACACAACAAAACACTGCCCAGTCCTGCACCATCCTCACAATCTTTGCTATGCTTGAGCCCATTGTTGCAGCCACTGTGTCAATCCATCTCTTTGAAGGTCTTCCTCTTTCGCTGACCTTCCACTTTACCAAGCATGGTGTCTTTCTCCAGGGATTGGTCCCTTCTGATAACATGTCCAAAGTATATGAGACGAAGTCTAGCCATCCTTGCTTCTAAGGAGCATTCTGGCTATACTTCTTCCAAGATGGATTTGTTCATTCTTCTGGCAGTCCATAGTACATGTATTCAGTATTCTTCATCAACACCACAATTCAAAGGCATCAATTCTTCTTTCATCTTCCTTATTCATTGTCCAGCTTTTGCATGCGTATGAGGCAATTGAAAATACCATGGCTTGGGTCAGGCGCACCTTAGTCCTCAAAGTGACATCCTTGCTTTTCAACGCTTTAAAGAAGTCTTTTGCAGCAGATTTGCCCAACGCAATATGTTGCCTGATTTCTTGACTGCTGCTTCCATGGGCATTGATTATGGATCCAAGTAAAATGAAATCCTGAAAATAATTCTTGGACATACAGAAAATTCTGAGTTCCAGATTATCACAGTAAGGTACTAAAATGCCCTACACTCAACAAAAAATTATAAAGCTACAAGATCACAGGAGAAGATGTTCCATGCTCATGGATTGGAAGACTCAGTATAGTCAAGATGGCAGTATTACTCAAAGAGATCTACAGATACAACTCAATCCCAATCAAAATTCCAACAACATTCTTTACAGAAATAGAAAAACTAATCCTCAATTTTATCTGTAAATCGCTTTGGATAGTATTGAGCACGGAGCATCTTTCCATATATATAGGTCTTCTGTAGTCTCTTTCAGCAGTGTTTTATAATTTTCATTGTATAAGTCTTTCACATTGCTGGGTAAATTTTTTCCTAGATATTTTATTCTGTTAGATGCTGTTGTAAATGGAGTTGTTTTCTTAATCTCATTTTCAGATTTCTCATTGCTGGTGTATAGAAAACCAGCTGATTTTTGTGTTTTTGTGTGTTGACCTTGTATCTGGCAACATTGCTAAATTCCTGTATTAGTTCTAGAAGCTTTTTAGTAGATTCTTTGGGATTTTCTGCATGTAGGACCCTGTCATCTGCAAATAGAGATGGTTTTACCTCTTCCTTTCCAATTTAGGTACCTTTTATTTCTTTTTCTTGCCTTACTGCTCTGGCTAGGGCTTCCAGTACAACACTGAATAGGAGTGGTGAGAGTAGGCATCCTTGTTTAGTTCTTGTTTTTAAGAGGAAAGTTCTCAATCGTTTTCCATTGAGTATAATGTTGGCTGTTGATTTTTCATAAATGCCTTTAATCTTGTTGAGGAACTTCCCTTTTATTTCAATCTTGTTAAGAGTTTTTATCATAATAGGGTGCTGGATTTTATTGAATGCCTTTTCTGTATTGAGTGAGCTGATCATGTAGTTCTTTTCCGTTGTTCTATTAATGTGGTATATTATTACATTGACTGATTTTCTAATGTTGAACCAACCTTACATTCCTGGAATAAATCCCATTTGATCATGACGTATAATTCTTTTAATACGCTGTTGTATTCTGTTTGCTAGTATTTTGTTGAGGATTTTGGCATCTATATTCATAAGGGATATTGTCCTGTAGTTTTATTTTCTTGTAGTTTCTTTGTCTGGCTTTGGTACCACAGTATTGCTGGCTTTATAGAAAGAGTTAGGAAGTATTCCTTCTTCCTCTACTTTTTGGAAGAGTTTGAACAGGATTGGTGTCCGTTATTCTCTAAATGTTTGGTAGAATTCCCCAGTGAAGTTGTCTGGTCCCAGACTTTTCTTTGTTGGGAGGCTTTTTATTACTGATTCAGTCTCTTTACTTGTTATGGATCTGCTGAGGGTTACTACTTTCTTTTGAGTCAGTTTAGGTAGGTTATGCGCTTCTAGGAATTTGCTCATTGCATGAAAGTTATCAGTTTTGTTGGAGTACAGTTGTTTATAGTGTTGTGTTATAATCGTTTTTACTTCAGTTGGGTCAGTAGTAATATCTCCATTTTCATTTCTTATTTTGGTTATTTGCTTCTTCTCTTTGTTTCTTTGTCAGCCTAGCAAGTATTTGTCAATTTTATTGGTCTTTTCAAAGAACCAACTTCTGAATTTGTTGATTCTCTCTACTGTTTTCCTGTTCTCTATTTCATTTATTTCTGCTCTGATCTTTGTTATTTATTTTATTCTAGTTGCTTTTGGCTTAGTTTGCTCTTCTTTTTCTAATGTCTCAAGCAGTAGAGTTAGACTATTTGATATCTTTCTTCTTTTTTAATGTAGGTGCTTATTGCTGTAAATTTGCCTCTGAGGACTGCTGTCACTGCATCCCATAAGTTTTGGTATAATGTGTTTTTATTTTCATTTATATCCAGGTATTTTAATTTCACTCTTGATTTCTTCTTTGACTCAGTAGTTATTTAATAGTGTGTTGTTTAATTTCCACAAATTTTTGTGTTTTCTAGTTTTGCTTTGGTTAATTTCTAATATTATTCCTTTGTGGTCAGAGAAGATAATTTGTATAATTTCAGTCTTTTAAAATTTGTTGCAACTTGTTTTATGGCCTAGGATATGGTCTATTCTGGAAAATGATCCATGTGCACAGGAGAAAAATGTGTGTTGCTTTGCAAGTGAATGGAGTGTTCTATGTATGTCCATTAGGTCTAGTTGGCTTATGGTATTATTTAAGTCCTCTATGTCCTTACTGATCTTCTTTTTAGATGTTCTGTCTTGAATTGAAAATGGTATATTGAAGTCCCCAACTATTATTGTGAGGTTGTTTATTACTCCTATCATATCAGTCAGTATTTTTTTCATATATTTTACATCACTGATATTGGGTGCATATGTATTTATAATTTTATGTCTTCTTTATGAATTGACCCTTTTATTATTATGTAATGTCCTTCTTTATCTCTGATAATAGATTCTGATTTAACATCTATTTCATCTG